AGTCACCCACACCCTGAAAGCCTAGCCTTCTCTTTCTAGGACCACCAGTGCCTCACGTGCCTTCGAACTGTACGTATTTCGCTCTTCAGTCAGCCCCTCTTCTGCCCCCAAACCTGTCGGTTCTGGGGCAGACGCCTTTGCCCGCGATCAGAGGTCTGGCTCAAATCATACCTTCCCAGAGCTTCCTGCAGAGCAGCACAAATCCACCGCCAGCCCTCTCAGAGTGGCTGAGTTCATCTGTCAGAAGCTCCCGACAGCTCTCCGGGTCGGTCTTCAGAGCCTCCTGGTGCCTGAGCTCTAGAGGTGACCCAAGGCTAAAGTTAAATCCTGGCCTCCCCACGGCGAAACGCAGGGCTGTTACAATTCATCCGCTCTACTCATCCCAGTTAATAGAACCCACCCCTAGCTGTCTCAGGCACTTTATAGCCTGCTGACTGCTATGCTCTCCGGCACAGACCACACCAGATTCTAGACCTTTTAGCTATAGAACCGGCCTTCTTAGTCACATGCGCTTTGTGAAGGGTTTCTGTGAATCACACCTTAAGCTATATTGTGTACCTGGAACGGGAATGAGTGTCGCATGCAAACTGGTATCCAGATTCTATTGTGTTTAAAGTGCCTGGCATCAGATTCCCTGAGATTTGATCCAGGTTGTGTCTCTCCCCTTCGAAAATGGTTCCTTTGCCTGCCCCGACGCCTGCGGAGACACCCTCACTTGTTTCAAAGCAAAACGAAACAAAACATGAAGATTCTTGACGGTGTATGGGAAACGCACATAGCTAGGAAACAAGGCTGGGTGTGGTGGTTTAAGCCTGCAAACACCGTGTTCAAGTCATCCTCAAATACATAGCAATACATAGTGTGTGAACCAGACTGGGCTGTAAGAGATTGTCTCAATAAAACAAACAAAATAAAAAGCCAGGTGCTTTTAACCCTGACACTGGGAAACAGAAAGTTCTATGTGAGAATTCCAGGTCAGCCTGACTTACACAGCAAGTCCCAGGATAGCCAGGACTACATAGAGAGCCCCTTCGTCTCGGGGAAAAAAAAAAAAAAAAAAAAAGTGAAATGTCTACATGTAGCTGAAAACTACAGTACTAAGTCTAGGTGCACACAGAATGTCCAGGACTTGATCCATATTAACCCGCTGTCTTGGTCAGTGTTCTTTCTCTAACAAGGCCACACCTACTCCAACAAGGCCACACCTCCTAATCCTTTTCAAGTAGTGCCACTCCCAGATGACTAAGCTTTCAGATAAATGAGCCTATGGGGAATGTTCTTATTCAAAACACACCCCCACTTAATCATCATAATTTTACAGACTGGAAAACTCATCTATTGGACAATTTTTCTTTAAACACAGAACTCTGAGAGGTGGAACATGAACCTGGGAAGTCAGGTTTGGGCCCCTTAGCCACCACAGTACCATGCCTTCAAAGAAGTGGTGATTGGGAACTCAATCAAAAGAGCCTAAGACAGAGGCAAATTTGAGCAGTTTTATTATTTTAAAAATATCCTGTATTAATTTCCATATCATCTTTAACAGTAAATTAACCCACTAGTCCTTAAACTAGATTCACCTACAAAGAGAAGGTTTGAAAACTATACACAAACTCTTTCTGCAGAAGGAAAGGGCAAACATCTGATTCTTCTGGGTACTGTACTGTTGCCTACAACAGTGGTTTAATTTACTGGAGTTGACTGTAGCCTGGGCTGCCAACTTGAGGGCCGGCTGATGAAGAGGGGACGCTGCCACCTGCTGGTCAAATGCATTATTTTCCCCATTCTACACCTCAAGGTGTAGGTCAAGTTAGCTGAGGATAAAAAGCATACTTCCAGTCACCTAGCTATAGATCTGACCAGAGAAGGAGAGAAGGTCTTTTCCTTGGGCTTGAAATCATACCTTTAGCCTCCATTATGGGCTACAGTCTGTTCATCGGGCCACACGGGGAAAGTGTGGTACAGCAGCAAGCCAATGGAAAGCTTTCCCAGTGGGAAGCAAGCCTGTGCATGTAAAATACTCACTGGCTTCCCAAGTGTGTTGCATTGACCCATGAGGTTTCCTCCTGAGCAGTGACAGATGGTCCTTTTTATTCTACTACCCTCAGCTCGGGCTGTGGGTGAGTTGACGCCTACAAAAGGACAGGCGACGGGCAGATCTTCTCCCCAAACTGCTATAATTTGTTTTATAAGATACTCTTTTTGGAGCTGGAGAGATGACTCAGTGGTTAAGAGCAATGGCTACTCTTCCAGAGGAACCAGGTTCAAGTCTCAGAACTCACATGGCAGCTCACAACTGTCGGTTTCTCCGGCTGCACCCTTGTGGCTACTGCCCACACTGCAGTCACCAGTGCAGACACAAACAGGCATACTTACACCAATTCCTTACACATCCGGGGAAACCCACCCCTTATTAGCAGTCTCTAATTTGCTACTGACAACTTGCAAATACCTCAATGCAACTACCATCTCCCTTCATTGTTTCCTAATTAAGTGTTCGGGGATAAAAGAGATGTTGAGGAAAGGGGGAGGGGACAAAAGACACGTGACATGAAAATAGAAGGAGAGGGCAGGGGGGCTGAAGATGAGAAAGTTTGCTTGAAAATGCCAAGACATTGCCGAGCATTGGTGGTGCACGCTGTTAATCCCAGCACTCGGGAGGCAGAGGCAGGAGGATTTCTGTAAGTTCGAGGCCAGCCTGGTCTACGGAGTGAGTGCCAGGATAGGCTCCAAAGCTACACAGAGAAACCCTGTCTCGAAAAAACAAAAAACAAAAAACAAAACAAAACAACAAAAAAAGAAAATGCCATGACATCCAATACTTTATGTGATAATAAAAAGCAACAACAACAAACAACAAAAAAGAACCACATGGTCCTTCACCGATAAAGATGAAAGTTAGGGTGAACTGTATGTGTGATGGCTAGTCTTTACTGTCAACTTAACCACACCTGGAATCAACTAAACCAAAGCAGTTTGGGCACACCTGAGACAGATTTTCTTGATTGGGAAGAGCCATCTCAACATAGACCACACCTTCTGATGGCAAGCCACCTAAAATGACATGGAAGAAGCTTTCTTTTGCCTTTTCCTGTTTGCCTCCATGCTTGGTGGCAGGTTCAGCTAACCTGTCGCTGAGGCATTCCTTGAATGGTATTAGAACCTACTTCTTTTTGTTTGTTTGGTTTTTGAGACAGGGTCTCTCTGTATGGCTTAGGCTGCCTGTCCTGGAACTTGCTCTGTAGATGAGGCTGGTTTCGAACTCACAAGAGATCTGCCTGCCTCTGCCTCCCGAGTGCTGGGATTAAAGGTATGTACTACCAACACCTGGCTAGAACCTACTCCTTTAGGGTTCCAACACAGAATGAAGACCAACAGCTCTCTCAGAGATCCTTGGCCTTTCTGTCAGGAGACAGTCATGGTTGGGTTACTCAAACCCTGCCTGTAAGCTGCTCTAATAACCCTATTATCTGTATGGGAAGGTGCTCATGTACTCCTGCAGGTGAGTGGCCATTAAACAGATTGCTGGACTAATTTATCAAGACTCCTAAGCTTGACTTTGGTTCTTTCTGAACTCAGTGACTGCCACCTTACAGACAAGGTGATCTGTAAGTGTCTAAGTTAAGAAATCCAACATGCTTTGGTTTCTTGTTCATGTATTTCCTGCAGTCAGAATGGGGTTGTCATTTATTTGGGGCAAGCACACAGAAAGGGACAAATCTTGAGTCCTGAGCCACCTGCTCTCTGAGGGTCCTGGTGTCCCCATGTTAGTTAGGGATAAGAATATTTAAGGAGTGGGCGGGAACACTGATATAACATACCTACCTAATAACTAAATTTTGTACTTTTAACCAAAGTATTTTATATTTTTAGAAGTAATGACTGTCACTCTTGGCTTACCCCTTACTTATATTACTAGCTAAAGGAGGTCCACATTAAGACAGAAGTTTGCTGCCTTTCACTTTCCTGTACGCTCTGTTTTACTCAGTTGTAAGGTTATTCTTGACCATAACTTACCTTGAATTCCATTCATATTGCCATTATTGCAATAAACAGACGTAGCAACAGTGTGATTTATTTTTAGTTAGGCTATAAAAACACTTTGGTGTAGATCCCTCAAAAAAGATAACTTTAGAATTAATGAAAATGGCCATCAAGAGATTTTCTAGGCTTTGCTTTTTATATATATATAAAAAAACCTGTATTTAGAATTTCACAGTGAATAGGTCCTAAATTATCATACAACATGAGGTTATGTAAAAATAGAAGACATGGACACCTTTAAATCTTTAATCCTTTAGACAGCAAGCATATTACTCTTCCAGGCCAAACACTGCTCAAACAAAAATGGAAAATAAGGACGTGCAAAATATTTACAAAGTATGCAAAGCACACAATAAAGACATTTCACTATATACATGTGTCAGATTACTAATGAAACTACAACTTTCCTACTGTGTGCTCTAGTGTTTGTAAATAAAATTGCAACACATCCCTCAGATACAGCACCTAGGCCCATGTCTGGGATGGAATGGGTTTTAAATGAACCACAAGATACTGAACATCTGGACAGACACTGGTGCTGACCAACTTGACTGACATTCCCCAGAGTGTACTGAAGGTCTACTGACAGGAGACTAGACAGTGAAAGCTGTCAAGGTGTGATATGCACAGACACAAGACAAGTGCTTAAAAAAAATGCTCTCGACAGTTTAAGATACACAACCGTCTTCCATGGCTTTTAAAGTAAAAGTAAGTATAGATTCTTTAATATTACATTTTATATGGGATGTAAACTATTTAGGTGATCCAATGAGAGAGAGAGAGAGAAAAAAGAGCCTCTCCTTCGAGCCAATTTCAATTATGTCAGAATGGAGGGTCCTTTTGAAGGAAAACTTGAAAATTAAAACTGACCAATGAATTTAAAGCTAGGGTTTTTATGGCTGGGGAGCCTTTACATAAAGGAACTAGTTTTCCATCACTTAGGGAGCACATGACCCCTTTGATGTGGGTGGCCTCCGACAAGACATGCTTCCCATATGAAATCATTCTCTCAAAACTACAGTAACGCACTGTTGAAATGCTATCATCGTGGAGCATTCTTTGTGGGTGCTAATGATTTCATGCTGGAATAAAAAGACTTTCAGCCTGTTTCTTCACAAAAACCGGTCTCAGTACTTTAGTTAACGGCACAATTATTGCAATAACACAACGGACTCTCAAGTTCACCTCGTGAAAGGATGCTGATGATTTAACTCTAAATCAAATCACAAGCACAGGTTGGTTGCAAGGATCCCACAAATGTATCCAAACGCACAGTAGAGACTTATCAAGAAAAAAAGAAAAGCACACCCTTCATATTAAACGAAGACCCTATTAATGAGTATGAGGGCAACTTTAAGTTCATAATATAAACTGTAAATAATTGCTTACGTAACCACCATCTCCACATAACTGACAAAATACATTCTGTTCTAAATTCCCAGCACAGGCAGATACTAGCTAAAAACAAATAGCATTTAGAAACTTTTTTTTTTTCAAAATTAACATCTTCAAAGAACTTAAAAACATTATATCTCACCAAATTTAAAGTCCTTTTTCTGCAAGTAAATGATCCCAAACCTCTGTTACCGATAGAGAACAGGGCCAGTGACCTTTAAACAAGGGCTTTGTGCTAGGACCCCAAACTATGTTAAAGGATTAGCAGGCTCAATACATTCTTTGTGGTTTCATATAATTGCTTTGCAATTGATTTAATTGCTTTCTTTTAAAGGAATATATTAGAATTCCTTTAGAAAAAAAGCAATGTATTTTGAAAAAAGGGATATGAAGCTATCATTTCTTAAATATGAATATGAACATATCAAAAATCTGAAATGCAGCCTATTTCTTCTTGCACTCCTAACATAGGAAAGTGTTTTTTTTTAAAAAATTTAAATTAAAGAAAAAAGGCAAAAAGCTAAAAATCCTCAAGGAACTTAAGGAGTTTGGGTTTTTTTTTGTTGTTGTTTTTTGTTTTTTACAATTCTTAAGTCAATATTTTTGTACTAACAGCTTTGAGTATGAAGAGGCAGGAAAGTAAGAAACCTCAACAAAATAAATACAGTCAAAATAAACAAACCCCTTGGAATATAGAATCCTTTTTCCTCCCATGAGATCCCACTGGTGAACACTGGAAAGGAGGCTAAACAGAGGCTCCCTGCGGTGTCACGCCCACTGTGCTCTAGGGCACTGCCACAGAGCTCGTTTGCAGCCTCAGCATCTGGGAAGAGGTTTCCCTCGTTTGGAGCAGTCATATGAGTATGGTGTGACGATGGGTGAGAAACAACTGCCACTTGGTCCAGTCTGAGTCTCAGTGCAGTGGGGACTGTGAATCTGTCTGGATCCCAATGAGTGACGGTGGCTGTTGACCGCCAACCGTGGTCAGCACTGGTCTTGGGTTTAGGCGGGGTGGCAGAGAGTTAGCAGGACGGATGAGAGGCGGGGGAGGCTGGTTCAGAGTTGGCCGGGGTTGGATGAACCGAGCCTGCTGCTGCAGCGGAGGAGGTTGCCGGTGAAGAGCGGGCGCCGCAGGCAGTGTCGGACGAAGAAGTGGCGGAGGCTGGTTCAGAGTGGCAATGGGGACTGTTGGTGTTGGAGTGGGTGATGGGGCAGGAGGTGATGGACCCAGAGTCCGAGGGGCCTGTGCGGTCTGTGCCTAGAGGTGAGGAGACAAAAATACATGTGTGAGATCTAAGTCCTAATAAACTTGATACAATATAGTTTGGGCTGTCACAGGAAAAAACAAAACAAATCAAATCAAATCAAAACAAAACAAAAACCAAAAACAACACCAGTGTTTATTGGAAGCACAAGCTTCTTTTATTTTTAACAAAACAAAACAAAATAAACCCTCCTTCCCCACCAAAAAAAAAAAAAAAAAAAAAAAGCCCCCAAAACCCAACAAAGCTACCAGACATATTTATTAGTAAACAGCTTAACAGTTAACAGTAGAGATAATACACTTTCCGCTCTGCTGGGACCGGAAGTCGGCATGTCGTTGTGACTTAGTGGTCACAAGAGAAGCCTCGCTGAGGAAGAGTATCGTCAGCCTCATGCTCATTTAGCTAGTCCTCACATGTATTGCCCTTACACAACACCACACACAGGGGTGACTCCTCAGCTCAGATTAGCTCAAGTTGCAGACACAAACACACCTCCTCTTCTTCATCAGTGCTCTTCCCTGACGGCACATTAGAAGCAATTTTTGTCTCCTCCCCTAAAGCAGAGGCATCACCATTAGAAGCCTGGGTTCCTTGTTCTGCTTCCCACTCCTGCAATACCTCCTCTAAGTTAAACCGGCGCCTGTAGTTTACAAAGAAGTTCTTCACTTGGCCAACAGTCTTGTTGCCAATTACATCTGCAATAGCTTGAAAATCTTTACCATATTTGCGGACACCTGGAAGGCAAAGTAAATAATACACCTGTGAAGGGTCAGCAAGGAGAGCTGTGTGTACCACACATCATGCACACACAAACACAGCCACCAAATAACCTCTCTGATAAAGGCTGCTCATTTCCCAGTTCTCAGACAGAGGCTAAGCTAGTAATCAGGGTCACAGGTGAAAACCGTCAATTACGTCATGTCAGCCAGCCAGTCACTTGCCTTCAACTGAACGATCAGAAACTTACCATTTTTTTTTTTTTACATACTCAGCTATTTTCTCCAATCCTTTCTTGAACTCTCAAATATAGTCCATTTATTGTAAAGCATTGAATTCTTTGTTCCATCCTCAATTCCACATTCATTTATTTCCCTAGTAGCCAGTCACCTAAATTTGAGCAACACTGTTTGTAAACAAAACTGGATGGGAAGGAACCATCTTTGTATCCCCTCAGTGCACTGAGTGTGCCATATGGTCCCCACAATGACTGAGTGGCCGTATGGTCCCCTCAGTGCACTGAGTGTGCTGTATGGTCCCCACAATGACTAAGTGGCCGTATGGTCCCCACAATGACTGAGTGGCCGTATGGTCCCCTCAGTGCACTGAGTGTGCTGTATGGTCCCCACAATGACTAAGTGGCCGTATGGTCCCCACAATGACTAAGTGGCCGTATGGTCCCCACAATGACTGAGTGTGCCGTATGGTCCCCACAATGACTAAGTGGCCGTATGGTCCCCACAATGACTAAGTGGCCGTATGGTCCCCACAATGACTAAGTGGCCGTATGGTCCCCACAATGACTAAGTGGCCGTATGGTCCCCACAATGACTAAGTGGCCGTATGGTCCCCACAATGACTAAGTGGCCGTATGGTCCCCACAATGACTAAGTGGCCGTATGGTCCCCACAATGACTAAGTGGCCGTATGGTCCCCACAATGACTAAGTGGCCGTATGGTCCCCACAATGACTAAGTGGCCGTATGGTCCCCACAATGACTAAGTGGCCGTATGGTCCCCACAATGACTAAGTGGCCGTATGGTCCCCACAATGACTAAGTGGCCGTATGGTCCCCACAATGACTAAGTGGCCGTATGGTCCCCACAATGACTAAGTGGCCGTATGGTCCCCACAATGACTAAGTGGCCGTATGGTCCCCACAATGACTAAGTGGCCGTATGGTCCCCACAATGACTAAGTGGCCGTATGGTCCCCACAATGACTAAGTGGCCGTATGGTCCCCACAATGACTAAGTGGCCGTATGGTCCCCACAATGACTAAGTGGCCGTATGGTCCCCACAATGACTAAGTGGCCGTATGGTCCCCACAATGACTAAGTGGCCGTATGGTCCCCACAATGACTAAGTGGCCGTATGGTCCCCACAATGACTAAGTGGCCGTATGGTCCCCACAATGACTAAGTGGCCGTATGGTCCCCACAATGACTAAGTGGCCGTATGGTCCCCACAATGACTAAGTGGCCGTATGGTCCCCACAATGACTAAGTGGCCGTATGGTCCCCACAATGACTAAGTGGCCGTATGGTCCCCACAATGACTAAGTGGCCGTATGGTCCCCACAATGACTAAGTGGCCGTATGGTCCCCACAATGACTAAGTGGCCGTATGGTCCCCACAATGACTAAGTGGCCGTATGGTCCCCACAATGACTGAGTGTGCCGTATGGTCTCCACAATGACTGAGTGTGCCATATGGTCTCCCTCAATAGACTGAGTGTGCCGTATGGTCCCTACAATGAAAAGCAATGTAATTTGGGCTTAATAGTAACCTCACCACGATTATCTGCCGACCCCACCAAGTTACCAACAAATACAAGTAATTAAATTATAAAATCAGAATCATCACAATCGATCGATCAGATGGGCTAAGGAAAGGGTCTTCCATCACTTTAAGTCCATCTCATCGCTCTAAGGCCCCGTGTGTGAGGACTGCTAGTATGCTCTTCTGAAGAGTCAGGTCTGTGATCATCACCCTGCCTTAAACTACAGCATGAGAGGCAGCAGCTGGTTTATGGGTTGAGAGCAACAACTGTGCTTCAGAAATTAAAGTGGATGCCAATCTGCTGGGGGGAATTCCATATGAAATACAAGGATGGACCTTGATCAAAATGAAGTCAAAAGCTTTTGATCTATACTTTGATAACTGTATTATATTGGTGTCAGAAAAATAATCATTCATGAAAGGGATGAGAAAGATGACAAAAAAGGAAGTGTAAATAAATGTCACTTAATGTATCAAAGATGACAGCATGTGATAAAGGCATGTTAAATACTCCAGAAATGCTGTGTTCTTACTGATACTGACTGATAGGAAATACCCAAGATGCCAACAGAGAATTTGGGAACAAATATCTCCAAATAAGTTCACCCAGCTGGGCTTGGTGGATGGGGAGCCTGTCCCATGACTTTAGAGCTCTTTGGATGAGAACCCTGGCAGTAACTATGTCTCACTGTAGACAGAAAGGGGTTTGTAAGCTATGCTCACATGTTCTGTTCTAAAGGAAAGACGTGCATAGTAACAGACATCAGTTACAATGTTTAATTAACACAAATCAATGCACACTTTCTGTAAATCCAAACTGATTTGCATGGTTCAAGATGAATTCTAACAGTGACCTAGCTACACTGAGGGTTTTTATGGCAACAGAAATCCCAGGTTACCCATAATAGTTACTGTTAACATCAAGTAGTTCCCCACTAAGTGTTCTTCAGGAAACAGCAGCTTCAAAAGGCTTCTGTGCCAACTAAACTTGAGAAAGCTGCACAGAACAGAACAGAACTGATTTAGAAGCCAGGCAGGAGGAAACCCTCTGGACACTAAGTTTCACCAGGGCTATTTAATTTACAGACCCCCCTTCTGGGAATTTGATTACTTTTGACTGTTCTCTTCCTCCCTAATCTTCTCTTGCTTAACAAGCCTTATTTTGGCATCAGTAGTGTCACATTTGCAAAATTATAGACTCCAAGCTGAAGAGTACTTCCCGTGAGAGTGCCGTGTTTCTGAGGACTCTGGTGCCGGACTTTCCTGTGTTCACCCAGGCATGTTTATAATGAACTCAAGTGGGGCTCTCACTGCCCCGAAGACCCCTCTGGTTTGGTGGGTGACCCCAACTGGTGTCCGAAGGACAAGACACCCATCTCTTCAACCTGCAGGGCAGGTTTTGTGCTAGCCAGCGCTCTTTAGTGGCCACCTCTAGCCTGCGGCAGGTTCCACCTGCTTGCTCCTAAGTTCTGACCAACTCTAGAGTTGGAGTTGGAGAAAAGGCAGAGTGTCGCCAGCTCCCAGCAATACTAAGTCTGTGCAATGTACCCAGGAAATGGGACTTTATCATGAAGCTGGCTTCTCTGGTTCTTCCTCAAGCTGTGGGGCCACACACAGAGGCCTGAAGTGTGTCTGTCTGTCTGTCTGTCTGTCTGTGTGCCTGTGCTCATGGTGGTGGTGTGTGTGTCAGAATATGGAAGCCAGAGGACTAGCTTAGATGTTGTTTCTCAAGTACCATCCACCTAGTGTCCCGAGACAGGGCCTCTCTGTGTCCTGGAACTCACCGAGTCGGCTAGGGTGGCAGGCTGGAGTCCCTGGGATTCTCCACTTGCCACTGGGACTGGAGGCACATGCACACTACCGTAGCTGGTTTCTTTCTTTTTTTTTAAACTTTGGTTCTAGGGATTGAAACAAGGTCCCGTGCCTTGCACTTCCCTTGCTCAACAGTCTGTTTTGGTAGAAGATGGAATCTTTTAAGAACATATACAAAGCAACAGGGTTCAGCACATTATCTGGAAGCTGAAACACTTCAGGTCTGTATCGTGGTGAGCAGCCAGCTGGTGTCTGGGGACTGCTTCATCAGAAGAGTCTCCCTCAGGCAAACAGAGGACAACCTGGAGCAATGAGTGTCGGGGACAACTAAAGACATGGTACCCGAGGAGCCCCCAAGTTCCACTCCTTACTCTGGGAGAGGTGGCCCACCCTCTTCATGTGGCCTGTAAACAAGCAGGGCAATCTATTGCTTCCTCAGCAAAGGGCTTAATTGCAATGGTTAAGTCCGTCAAATGGTTTAAGGCACAGCTGAGTGAAAGTCCCACCGATATGGCTAAGAGGCCAACTTTCAAAGGTTGGTGGGGTGAACATCTGGAGACCCTTCCAGAACCAAAGCCGTAAATCCCCAGAGAGGAAAATACTCTTCTTGGTCAACTTTCTAAGCTTCCTGTTCTTGCAAGTAATTGCTTTCAATACTTGATAGAATTTTTAAAGTGTGTCTGGGAATTCAGAAAAATGGAACCAAGGGATTGTAGCCATCACATTTTATGAAGGCCCACATTTTCCCATCACTGTTCTATACTACCCAACATAAATACACCACTACACATCAATTTAAAAACATTTCCTGTTTTTCTTTTGTTAAAGGCAATTTCCTTACTAGTAAAGACTGACACAGGCACTACCCAAACAATCCAAACTCTGAGTTGGGGGGCTATGTCTACTCATGCTCGAGGAGCTGTAGACAGGGGTTCCCAGTCGCAGTTACGGACTCCAGAGAGGATGGCATGGGCATCGCTTCTGGTGTTTGGAGACAACAGAAAGCCAAGCAGAGAGGCTCAAAGGCGGCAGAAGGGGCTTTCCCCTGCTTCTCACATCAAACTTTCTTAGAAGAGAAATGCAATGTATTGCATATAACTGGGGAGTTAAATTTATCAAAAAGTCTGTTTTTGAAATCGAGCATGGTATCTAGAACCTCCGAGAATGTGGTTCTTTTCAATAACCAAGAGATACATTTTGAACTCACAACTATGGGATATTCGTTTTTTTCTGCCTCCCGTGAACTTTATTAACTCAGCAAATAGACAGTAACGGTTGAGCAGACAGTGGAGTCCAGATCATGGCTTCCCTTCCTTTGTCTCCTGCTTGTCTCTGGGTCCTGTACTCACACCTGCCATGTTGTAAATTTAAATACATTGCAAAAACAATGGGAAATTTGAATGGTTATCTGAAGTAAGCTGACGGAGACTGACAGCCAGTAAGACCATGTCCACTCTGTGGCCTCCATTACAGCACTAGAGACACTTCCAATCAAAAGTGTGTCTTTAAGACAGAAAGTGCAGCTTCAGGATCCTACCCCCACCTCCTTCTGACTATGCATGCACTACATTTCCTATCTTTACCTTTTTAATCAAAGGTCAAACCTACTGCCTTCTACTTTATGAACCGTTCCAGTTTAGGGTTAACTACGAGATAAATCTAAAAGGGCAATTCCAGATTTGCCACTTCATTTCTCTCTGAAGGATCCACAGTGTGAGCTGCGGAAGTGACGGCGACTTTAACACGGGGCACGGCCCTCAGGACATACTGCTCCCAGTCCGTTTAAGAAGTCATGGCGGGTAAAACAAAAACTAAAAAACTAAAGCTGACATCTCGATAAAAGAGCATAAAGATCAGAGAGCTGAATCTCTGATCACTAGGACATGAACACATTTCTGAGGTGGACTAAAATATCAACAGCAAATATTCACACCACACTCCTGAGCAACCACACAAATGGATGGTTTTCTGAGAATAGCCAACAGCGGGAATGGTTCCATCACATGGAAAAGGCCTTACACATGGGAAAAGTGGGAGGAGAGCTGTTCTAATTGGCGCACTAATGATGTCCCACTCGGAGTCCTAAAGAAAGCCACTGAGGTCACAGCAGAACTAGAGGGGACACAGGGAATTTAAAGAAGCAGACACAGAGTCCTGCCACAGCTGGCTGACCCTTGCTTTCGATTTCCACTAGGGGAGCAAGGAAGGGGAAACGCTTCAGCTGTCAGCAATCGGCTGGTAACAGTAGCAAAGGTGGGCACACAACTTAAAACCTAGGAATGGAAGTGATCTTTTTATGCTTTCCAGTCTTAAAAGAGTTACCAAAGACGTGTGTTCAAACTGAGTTGCTGACCTCAACAATGGCATTGCTCGTTTCTCTAGGTCACTGTATCAGTCCCTTGTGAGCAAGACCAGGCATTTTACAAAGGGTGCCGTATACATGTATTAGCGGTCCTGAATGTAAAGTGTCACACAAATGAAAACATGTTACTATCAAAACAATTTATTATTGCTTTACAATACTGAAGTGGCTGTTAAAGGATTCACCATATAAAGGTTTATCATGAATATTCAAGAAAAAAATCGCTCGCTAAGTAGCATCTTACTAGCAAAGTCTACACGTTAAACAGACGCTACAGTTATGTGCACACTTCAAGCAGTGAGCCTCAGGCACGGGGCTCTGCTCCACCACACTATAAGATGCACTCCTGGGTATTTATGTAAAGTGTGGGTATGTAGGACACAACAGTGCCTTTCAGACCTTTCTAGAACAACACAAATAGATAAACGGTTTTATTTTATGTACTAACAACAGAAACAAAAAGGCCAAACAGAATGAAAACAAAAATTCCAAATCATTTTAGTCTAAAGAACTAAAAATGAGGCATTAATGCATTGTTTTAGGAAGACCTTTAAAATCCTAAGAGCAAGCAAGCATCCTTCCATGCAGACTGTTGTTGGAGTCATTTACCTAAAGGCCACTTTCTAATTGTGCATCTGAGAACCCACACATGCCTCAGCAGGAAGGAGAGACCCGGCTCTGAGCATTGGTACTCTCTTCTGTTGTTTCAATGCTTTTAAGTTATCTGCACACAGACAGCCCCGGCTATACATGGGATCTCACCACTGTGCTTTCCTTGAGTGCAGGTTTGTATGGTCCAACCAAGCTGTTAGATTCGGTGGATTGTGCCCCTGGAAGCTATCAAGTCTCAACACTATCAAATCTCAAGTGCTATGTGGAGAAAGATTACCCCAAATTTCCTTCGGAGATCCTCTTCAGAAAATCCTTTGCTGGGGTAATTTCTATTATGGTACAGAATTAACAGATTAGCCAAACACTACAAGTCCGGGTTCAGTCCTATCAGTGACACTCCAGGGAGGAGAACCGGCTTAGCATGGATAAAAGGAAGGCCAGCTCACACTCCCGGTGGAGTTCTCAATGTACACGATGCATCCTCTAAACAGAGAGAAGGATGAGTATTTGGGAATATTATAAACTGTGTGCTCACGCTTCCCAGGAGTCTCACTCTCACAGTAGTTAACCTGCATGAGAAAGCTCTTAGCACTTAGCACAAAGAGGGCTCACCAGACAGTAAGTAGAGCACATTTAATTTACACAATGACTTCTGCAGATAGTTCATCTTAAATTGAAATAAAATCTATGCTGAAAAATATATATATATATATATATATATATATATATATATATATTTATTAACTATTTGCCCTTAAGCAGCTCAAACAGAAGAAAACCCAAGTGTTCCCCGTTTGCCCATGGGTGCATGCCTTTGAGTGTTCTCACAAACAGGACCAGCTGTGGTATCGCACTTCTACAGGGCCTGTGGTCTCTTAAAGGTACAGAGAGCTCTGTCTCTTTGTAAGGAATGACACACTGAAAGCACATAGTTAATATTTTCATAACCTTACACTTATCAAATAGAGAAACAAGGAGCTACTAGACAGGTAAGAAACTTATAGTTTATGTTCAGAACGGGTCACCAATGAGACAGTGACACACCCGGAAGCTGAGTCACAGGGCGCCATGTGATTGGCTGTGCTGCTCAGGACCCTAAGTGAACAGATTCACAACACAGGATCCCTGGGATCACCTGGGCGGCGTGTTGAACGCGGCCCTTCCTTGACTGCGTCTACAGGAGGGAGAACTCCGGCAGCCGCCTTTCATGACAGTCAATAATGAACAACAACACCGCTTATTATCTTTAGTATACCTTGCACTGCTAGGAGCTGCTCCTCTGTGGTCCAACGGGCATTAATTTTCTGATTTGACTACAAAATTAAAAAGAAGTTTCCTAATGAGGATATGAAGACAGACATTTTTCCAACTTGCTTTTTTTTTTTTTTAAAAAAAAAAAAACTTTTTCACCAAATCATAGACATGAGACTGATAACGCTGTCCCATGGAGGTTCCACTTTGGGAAGGCTTAAATAAAGTCTCGAATTACCTTTTATACATACACACGGAGAGACAATGAGAGAAAAATGCACCCATTTGGGAGACTGAACAACACTGGTACCTCACTCATTTTCCACTTACAATGCTCCTGTTACACAGCACAGATACTGGCTTTAGCCCAGTTTGTTTTAACATTGAAGAGACCATTTTCTCTTGAGAAGGTCTGTGACTCTAATATTTCTTCACTTCGCATTAAATAAAACCTATGCTGTCTCCTATAGCAGTTGTACAAATCAGATTGAGGACGGAGGGCAAGCCCAAGACCTAAGGTATTTCTTTAAATTCCTGAAGCAGAAAATGATTCATTGATAAGACCTTTTAATTTATTTTTTTTTTTTAAATCTCAGGACTTCCTAATGTTTCTCTCCAAGTCACTGTTAAAATTCTACGGTAGTCACCACCTAGCCAGGTTTCGGTAGTTCAGTCCACTGATGTAACCCGTACATCAGCTCATAGATGAGCAGAGGAGACACTGCCAAGGTAAAGGAAGCCGAAGCCGGTGTAGTGCCTGGACCCACTGGGAAAGCGAGCAGGCAGCGTCCTTCCAGAGGGGACATCAGCTCTCACCTCTGGGTGACACCAATGAAATGAGGTTTACACCTCCTTATAAACAAGTAATCAGAAGAAACAAACAACTTCAAAGTCAGAAACAAAATTTTGAGAGGACAAAAGGAAAAAGCTTAAAGAGACCCAGAGCAAGGAAGGATAAAAACCAAAAAACAGAAATGACTGAATTTCAGGAGAGGTAAAAGGGGATGACATACAGCCCGGGCAGCAACCACACAATAAGCCGAGGAGCACAGGTTCTGAGACACACAGTGCTGGCCAGCTGGGCCTGGGATTGCAGCACTGTAATTCAAGCTACTTGGGGGCTGAGGCAGGCAGTGTTCAAAGACAGTCTAGACAAGTTAGTAAGACCTATTTCAAAATGAAATATACAAAGAGGTCTAGCGACACAAATTAGAGAATATTTCAGTCCCCACTACCCTCTCTCCTCAGTGAAAAGGAATCAAAGAAACAAACCCGGAAACTTAAGCAGGTTTCCAGAAACCGAGCAGCCTGGAGGCAGGGCAGAAGCTGAGCTGGTGCTCGAGTGTGAGTGCACGGAAGCTGTTGAGTCAAAAGCAAAGGAGCTCACCGTCAACTCCTGGAAATCGGAATGGGAACTATTTAAAATGGGTCTAAATATTTCAGAGTGAAAGGTGAAAAAAATCAGAGGCCTACTGAAACTTAATCTGACCTAGAAAACAAAAACATTATCAACTGGCTCATTCTTTGTATAAAATATTTGCTTATTATTGTTGTGTTATGCACGCGTGTGCATGTGTGGGGTGTGAGAACACTCTGTGGAGTCACTTCTCTCCTTCCATCTTTATGTGGGTTCCAGGGATCAAGCTCTGTTCTCAGGCCTGTGTGGCAAGATAAGAGGCCTGGTTCCTCCTTTGAGGCAGCTAATGGTTTGGTCACCATGCTTTCACTTCATTTTGGACATTGCTTTTCTAAAAACAATCACTTGACCATGACATGGGGTTTTGTTCTTTGGAGGCTTCGATATTTTTCTCAAGTCCTTTAACTCTTTGTTGCTCAAATCATCCTTTTTGAAGTGTTTGGCTCATTTTTTTTTTTTTTCAAATGTTGCTTCTGAGGGAGTCAAACCTTGTGGATGACAGAGCCATTCTCTTGCACAGACATTGGCAGGTTTCATCTGGGCAACGCCCAGAGTTTCACTTGGTTTGCACTGTATGTGCTTTTTATTAACTATAGTGATAGACAGGCACAGTGCTGTCTGTGATGGTCAGGACAGACTGACATCCCTGGGAGATGTGAGCATATCCTTGTTGGCGAGCTCCCCCTACTAGGAATCTCCTGGACAAAGGGCGACACTCACTCCACAGAGTGCTCTGAGGGTAACACTGAGATAGTGCCTGAGTAGTGAAAGCTGATTGTGGCTGTGAAATCTGCTGAGGCTTGAGGGGAAAATATCATGAAAAGGGAACAAAAATGAAACAAATACGAACACTAGAAAAATGTACTTTCATGCCAGGCGTTGGTGGTGCACGCCTTTAATCCCAGCACTCGGGAGGCAGAGGCAGGCAGATCTCTGTGAGTTCGAGGCCAGCCTGGTCTACAGAGCGAGTGCCAGGACAGGCTCCAAAGCTACACAGAGAAACCCTGTCTTGAAAAAAAAATGCATTTTCATCTAAACCTCAGAAGTGTCTGAAAGGCAGTCAGTGTGCAGAGAGAGAGAGAGAGAGAGAGAGAGAGAGAGAGAGAGAGAGAGAGAGAGAGAGGGGAGGTCTGTGCAAAGGATTTAAAGGCCACTCACCACAGAAGGTGACAAGATCAAGGCTAGGGAGCCTGCACTACGCCTGACAAACCAAAGCTGTGTTAGGGGAGGGGAGGAAGAGGACCTGCGGTGGGGACTTGGCTTTAACCAGAACAAGACTCCTAAGCTTGGAGAGCCAGCAGAAGGTGATGCAGCTGAGAAGTGCTCACCTCGGAGACAGGGAAGTGGGGAAGGTGAGGTTAGATGAGGCTTATTTGAGGCACACTGAAAACGAGGCACTGGGACATTCAGGAGGAGCTAAGGTTCCATGTGGACAAAAACACAATATTCTTGTATCCAAACCATTTTTGAAGGTTTGAGAAAAAAAATAACAATGGAGCCATTCACATGTTACTTAAA